AAAAAGCTTTGGTTTCTTCTATCTATTGAATAGGGTAAAAATTACCTCCCCTTCTCCATGGAAGTTCATGATGCTCAGATAAAATGAAGGTGTAAGGAAACTTCATGGATAGTTCCTTACCAATCAATGGTAAGGATGGCAAGGAACCATCAATACCAGTCATTGATAATGGAGTGGTAATTATTTTGCAATTGCATCTACATATTGATAATTTAAGAATCAACCAGTAAATATCAATAGCTTTCCATACCCCTAACACTACCCTAAGCCCTTTAAAAACATTCAAAATATATTTAATGCAAAATCAAATTTAAATATTCTGGAGAAATTCATTCAGATTTAAATTGTAGGATTTTAAAACATTTGGCCCTGGATCTTTCTGAGAGTGATAAGACAACACCCCGCCACCAAATCCTTTCACTTAATCTACAAATCTTAGTCAACAAATATTTACTGGCTATCACAATCACATTCAGCAACTGCTGTCTCGTTCCCACACTGATAGGTGTCAGATACAGGCAGACAGTCAAAAAGATTTTAAAATTTTAAACTGCCCTTTTAACACAGAGATACATGGTCTTTCATTTAAATCCTGTTCTTGAACTATGCAAATTAATCCCCATCTTACCAAAGAAGCTATTTTTAAGTCTTATGCAGAAATTAAAAACACATACCTGAGAGGTCACTATATAGCTGAGAGCAGCAACAATACAAATAAACATTCTACATTTTTTTATATAACTCACATCCACTCAAATATAAATTAGTTTCACTGATAGGTCTAACTGCTCGATATTTTTCGCTAAGCAAAGTTGTAAAGAAAACAATTGAAACCTGATATAAATAAGATGGCATAACTGTTTGGAGTTGGCATGAGGCCCTTTTTGATCACTTGAAAGTCATTCCTATTTTTTAACCTCATGGTGATGAATCACAAAACAAACATAATTCAAAAAAAAAGTGAACATTATTTATTTATCATCATTTTTCTAAGGATAAGAAAGTTTTGAGATTACATATATACAGAATTGTGCCTATTTTTCAAAAATTATTTTTTATCCTGTTACAGAGAAAAGTATAGAAAAGTGAGTAAGGTGTTCGCTTCAGCAGCACATATACTAAAATTGGAACAATACAGAGAAGATTAGCAGGGCCTGTACGCAAGGATGACATGCAAATATTTGAAGTGATCCATATTTTTTGTCTGAGACTTGTAAATGATAACCACTATATATAAAAACAGATAAAAAACAAAATTTTTATGTATAGCACAGGAAACTATATTCAATATCTTGTAACAACCTTTAATGAAAAAGAATATGAAAACGAATATATGTGTATATATATGCATGACTGAGACATTATGTTGTACACCACAATTGACACATTGTAACTGACTATACTTCAATTTTTAAATTAATTAATTATTTTACAAAGAAGTGAATAAGACTACCTTATTGCCACTAAAGAAGAAAGAACAAAATATAAAGGAGCCCTACCTTAAAGTAGCTTCAATGGGCAGCTCAAAAGATTGAATCTCAGCCAGGACATTCTCATAGGTTTGATCTGGGTCTTCTTCCAACATTGCTCCTGATTTTCCAGCTGCAGACATCAGATTTTGAGTGCAAAACAGTTGTAATTTATAAGACAAATGTAGTTTTCCTTATAATTGTGACAAGGGTTCTCTGTTCATCCAAAGTAGCAGCAAAAACTGAGCTCACTGTCTGACTTCATGCTATCAAAATCCATGCTTCCAAGAATGTTGCACAGCTGTTGCTGTCCTGTCTCTACTTATAACATTTTATTTGTTATTAACCTTGACACAGTTCAGAAAGTTCCTGCCTGATGCCTGCTATATTTATTTGTTTCTCACAGACAGTAACTGCAAAATAGGAATTAGAAAAATTATACTATAAAAAGTTATTAAATACAATTGACTTGCTAGGGCACATATTATAATATTATTTATACTAAATACACAACGGAAGCTATGCTCCTAGTTATACCTTGCCCACAAACCCAAGCCGGTAACTTGTTCAGAAAAAAGGTAATAATCCTATAGGATATGAGTTTGAGGTCTCTGGGCAAGGCCCTTGGTTCCCCATCTCTTTCACTTCTCCACCCTCCTCACTGCTGTGTGAAGTTCCTTCATTAGAGAGCCATTCATTTTTTTGGCCCCTGTTCAAATACAAAGGCTCCTGAAAGTCGTTAAATTTTAAGTTTTATTAGTCACTTATGCCTCACTGTGAATGAGTTTGCTAGATCTTTCTTGCAGGATAAAATTTGATAGGCAGGGAGAAAGCATGAAGATGCCCGGATGTTACGGGGGCTAGTTCCCCTAAGAGGAAGAGAGAATGCAATAAGTAGAGGCCCAAAATAGCAAGGAAAAATGTGGCCAACAGCCAGCCCAAGTAGGCTTAAAAAATTAAATGGGGACATATTTCCCATTACCATTTGCACTAGATCTTCCACAATTATGAATTTAACTTCATGCTTTCTTGCCCAGTCCTAGAAGGAAGGTATTTAAAGGGATGAATAGTGGTATTCTTTCATAGGAATTTTTGTTTGTTTTTATCAGATTTGTTAATATTGCTCTAAAAAGAAATTGAAGTTCCTTCTCAGAATGTAATATACATATAACCACAAGGCATATGTCATAAATTGCAACATTTTTTCACTTCTCCCTGCTCCATACCCTTGCCAGTGCCTCTCTGAGTGTCCCTCTGTGCCTCGTGACTATGGGTTTAGCCTTGTGACCTCTGGGACTGATGATACATAAGCGGAAGTGACAGTACGTGAGCGGAAGTGGCGGTACGTGAGCTCCGAGCCTGGGCTTTGTAAGGCCTCACGTACCTCTGCCGTCGCCTGAGAAAATCATGCCCTGGCTAGCTTGCTGGTCCAAGGAGGATGAGAGATACACAAAGCAGAGTCATCTCCATGATCCATAAAATTGCAGGGAGAAGCATATTTTCCCAGCCAGCGGCAGCAGCTGGAGGCAGAGCTGCCCACCCCAGTCCCGGCTAGATCAGGCATGCCCCAGATGACCCATAAACACTGGAGCAATAATGAATGATGGTTCTTTTCAGCCACTGAGTTATAGGCAGCAACAGAAAACCAATGCAGCATTCTTCACACCAACCCCACCAATAGGCTCAACTCTTAGCCCTGGTTTTCCTCCATGGCCGGATGGAAGAAATGCATCAGGAAGATGCCTAACAACCGTTTCGCCCAAGAGGAAGTGATGATGCCCTCCTTTAAGATGACACAAGACCGTGATTTTTTTCATCTTGTGTTAAAGACATTTATGTTCAAGGTTTTTAATTTACACCGAATTATCAGATTATTTAAGAGCAGAATGTCTATTTGATTTGTATTTGTATTCCCCATAACACTTAACACATTGCCCTGTGTACAGCAGGTGCTCAAGAAATGTTTTCTGAATGAATGAACGATTGACAGCAAAAGCTGCAAGGTAAGAGTTACTTCTGCCTCATGAGGAAACATTGGTCCAACTGATGCAAAAATATGAGACTTCTAGATTGAGTTTATCAGACTATGAGAATACATAAGTACATGATAGGAAATCACTCTGGTCATAAGAGAGCATTTGTCATCACTATACTACATCATAGAGAACAAATTCATAGGTAATGCCACATACACGGGAACATATATTTGTGATGAGCCACCCAGCCCTAAATATAACATAGTTAAAAAATGGATACTTCTCCCCACATACCCCAAATTTTTACCAGAAAAAATTTTTTTTTAACTTACAGAAGAATGCCATGGACATGGGGAGAGTGTATAGGTCAAGTGGTAGAGTGCATGCTTAGCATGCACAAGGTCCTGGGTTCAATCCCCAGTATCTTCTCTAAATAAATAAATTACCACCACAAAAAGAAAAAAAAAAGAATGCCATGGACATGTAATAATGTTCACAGCAGCACTATTTATAATAGCCAATTTTGGAAGCAACCTAAATGTCCATCAGTAGATGAATGGATAAATAAATAAATTTAATTAAATAAATAAATAAATAAATAAAATATTACACAGCCATAAGAGAGAATAAAATAATGCCACTTGCAGCAACATGAATGGACCTAGAGTTTATATACTATATGAAGTAAAATTAGACAGAAAGAGACAAATATTATATGATATCATTTATATGTGGAATGTAAAAAAAAGATACAAATGAACTCATTTTCAAAACAGAAACAGACAGACATGGAACACAAATTTATGGTTACCAAAGAGGAAAGTTGAGGGAGGGATAAATTAAGAGTTTGGGATTAACAGATACACACTACTATACATAAAATAGATAAACAACAAGGACCTACTATAGAGCACAGGGAACTATATTCAATGTCTTGTATAACCTATAGTGGAAAATAATTGAAAAAGAATTTATGTATCTGAATTACTTTGCCATACACCCAAAATTTACACAACATTGTAAATCAAATATACTTCAATGAAAGGAAAAAAGAATACCATGAACAACCACATACCGCTCATCTGACTCACCATTTGACCATTTGTTGACATTCTGTCACATTTGCTTTCTCCTCCTCTCTCTCTGTTTATTCAAGGGGATTTTATAATGCAGGCATATGCTTTTAATATATATAGTGGTAAAATTGTGTTAATTTACACAGAATATTTTTAGAACAGTATAATGCTGTACCATAAAGTAGTAGAATTAATGAACCATGATAGCTTTGACTCATTGTTACTGCCTGGCTCTGTTCCCACCACACAGTGCTGTTATCCTCTTCCTGTACAGCCAGTCCCACCAGGAGACTCAAGGTCTTCCAACCTGTCGGCCTAGTGGCCTCCCTCCACCCCTCGGCTCTCCCCATACCTCCTCTACTCCTGCCCCCTCTCTTCTGCTCCTCCCACCTCTGTTAAGTGAATTTTCCCTCTGCCTCTTACTTTCTTCTAAGCTGTGTAAGACACAGGCAACAACTTCCTGTTTCCGCTGACTAAACCAGCATCTTCCTTTTATTCAAAACTTTCCTTGAGTGCCATTTCCTGCCGGAAGTCAGCACAGATTGAATGAGCAGGAGAGGATCTCCTCCCAAAAGTAACAGTCAGAAAAACAACCTCCCTATCCCATAGCGCTGACAACAAACTCACCATATAAGGAAAAGACAAGGAGGTAATGGAAATTTTTAAACAGCTATATTCCAAGATGCCTATAAGAGAGAATGGCAAGTATGACTGGAATGTTCCCAGTCTCAACCCTTAACCTCCCCCCCAGTGGCTGCTCAGACTGCTTTACTGCTTTCTGGGATCCTGACCACTGATAGGAGTCAATTAAGTAGCTCTAGGCTAGTGGTTCTCAATGGGTGATCTCTCCTCCCAACCCTAGGGCAATGACGGGAGAGATCTTGTCTCAGCTGGAGGTGGTTGCTACTGACACCCAGTGGGCAGACGCCAGAGCTGCTATTCTGACTTTTTTTTTTTCCCTCTAACTCTACCCCACCATGACTAGCATCTTTGGTGAGCAAAGAAATGGATCTCAATCAGAAATACTCAACATATTTTTTAACAAGCACCTCCATAGTAATTAGTCTATGCCAAACATTGTTCTAAGCACTTTACAAATATTAATTCATTTAATCCACACAACATCCTATGAGGCAGATTATTATTATCTTCATAAATGTGTAAGACAATCGTGTGATCCCACTGCTACAAGTCTAGTGAAGCCTTAGGCTACATGAATAACAGTACGGAGTTCAGGACAAAGACGGTTAAAACTCAATTGTATTCTGTGCTCTGGTTCTGATATCCACTTGGCTCGCTCCTTTACTTCCTCCAGGACTTCGCTCAGAAGTTATCACCTCAATAATGCCTTCACTGGAAACAAAATCCAACATTTTAACTTTGATTCAGCACTCTCTAGCTCCACTACTTCCTCTACTTTATTTTTACCTCTCAGTATTTGTCACCTTTTAACATATTATACACTTCACTTACTTATCTTGTTTATAATCTGTCTCTCCTCTTAAAATGTAAGAGTAATGAAGACAGGGAACTTTTTCCTGTTTCGTTCACTGAGGTATCTCCAGTGCCTAGAACTGTGCCAGGCAAAGAGAGGACTCTCAGTAGTATTTGTTGAGTGGATGGATGAATGAATAAATGTGGAAACATACAGATGAGAAAGGAAAAAAAGAAATACTCAAA